ATCAGTCACTATCCTCCCTTGTATTTATCCATATGTTGTAGTTATCCTAATCATTATAGGATTAGGATAATCATCCCCTTTATTGTTGTAATCCTTATCTCCTAAGGAATATGCTTATTCTCTTGTATGTATATATATGTATGTGCACGTGATGAATAAGATATACAGAGTTACAACCTTCTCCTTTATTCTATAACAGTTTTATGTACTAAAAAGATTTACATATTCCCCTAAAAATTTCGACCTCCGCAGATACAAAGCATCTCAAGTGGACATCTTAACGAGTAAAAGCATTCATTTTAGGCCCAATAGAAACTAAAATCTGTAGAGGCCAAAAAGCCCACTATAGTTTCGATGAGCAATAATGTAATGTTTACGTGTTCTCGCGTGGTTAATGTCCCCCGTTTCAGGACCTCCACCGTCCTGCTACCTCTTCTTAGGGTTTCTTTCGCCGTGTCGGAGATCTCTCCTTCTCTGTCGATAGAGGTTAACTGAAAGTGTAAGTTTTCTTGTCTGTTTTTGTTTCCTTTGTTCACCCTTAGACAACCATTGAATTTCGTGGTTTTGGGGATCCAAGCTTGAGATTGATGTCTCTGCATTGATCCCCTATCGCCCTTTTATTTTTGTGAAATTCTATATAGTCTTTGGCTTTCTCGGGGGTCATTTTGTTTGATTCACTTCGTCTGATTAATTTTATCTTCGGTCGGAACGGGTTTGTGCAGTTATACGACAGGATTGGTTTGCGTACTAATGTATTAAGAATTGGTTTTAAGATATACTGATACACACACATATCATTGATATGGATTTTACGTAATGACTTGTAAATTTATAAGCTGTCTCGTTATGGTTTTAGCTTTTGAGGATTGATTTAGGATTAGGTCATTTCTTTTCCTGGTAAATACTAATAATGCAAAGCTTGAATTCAATCCCTGTATTATTATTTTTCTTTTCTTTCATGCTGCAGAGAACAAGTAGTCACTGTAATTAAGTTTGGTTACACGCAAGTTCAAAGATGTCTGTCACAGCAGGAGTGAGTGAAGCTGCACTAGCCACAAGAGCTAAACTCCGAGGTGGGATTGGACAGACTAAAGTGAAAAGATACTGGCCTGGTAAAGCTCCCGAGTGGGCCGATGAAGCCGACGAAGATGAGGATGTTAGGATGCACAAGGCTGATGTTTTGGATAGAAAGCATGAAGATTTAGGAGTTGCTAGGAAAGACGACCCCAGGCTGCGTCGTTTAGCTCAGACCAGAGCTGAAAACCGTGAGGAAGTTAGAGCCGATCATCGCCGTGTCAGACAAGCTGAGATTATATCTACAGAAGAAGAAGAGTTGAGGAATCAAGACGAGGAAGAAGATGAAGATGCGTTGGAAGAAAGAAGGAGAAGGATCAGAGAGAAGAATCTCAAAAGAGCTCAGGAAGAGGCTGATTTACTTCCTGTGGAGGAAGAAGACGAGGTTGAAGATGAAGACGAGGAGGAAGAGGAGTCTGAGTACGAGACTGATTCTGAAGATGACATGCCTGGTATCACCATGATCAAGCCTGTTTTTGTACCGAAAGCTGAGAGAGATACGGTTGCAGAGCGTGAAAGGCTTGAAGCTGAGGAGCAAGCTCTCGAGGAGTTAGCAAAGAGGAAGCTCGAGATGAGGAAGATAGAGACGAAGCAGATTGTGGTTGAGGAAGTTAGGAAAGACGAGGAGATACGTAAGAACATGTTATTGCAAGAAGCGAATATTGGAGATGTGGAGACTGATGATGAGATCAACGAAGCTGAGGAGTATGAAGTGTGGAAGACGAGAGAGATCGCTAGGATCAAGAGAGAGCGTGATGCAAAGGAAGCTATGTTGAGAGAGAGGGAAGAGATAGAGAAGCTGAGGAACATGACGGAGCAGGAGAGGAGAGAGTGGGAGAGGAAGAATCCGAAACCTTCATCAACTCAACCGAAAAAGAAATGGAACTTCATGCAGAAGTATTATCACAAGGGAGCTTTCTTCCAAGCAGATCCTGATGATGAGGCAGGATCCGTGGGAACTGATGGTATATTTCAGAGAGACTTCTCTGCTCCAACGGGAGAAGATAGGTTGGATAAATCGATTCTGCCCAAGGTTATGCAAGTCAAGCACTTTGGTCGTAGTGGAAGAACTAAATGGACTCACCTTGTTAATGAGGATACAACAGATTGGAGTAACCCGTAAGCTTTCTGCTTTTCTTTTGTTACATTTTGGTTAGTCATAGGTTTCTGAACTCAGAAGGTTTGACTTGTTTAGAATTTGAGTTGAGACATTAGGCAGGGAACTGAACTGAATCATTGGTAGCAAATGTGAACGGGGTTATATGTTAGGGAGAATCTTGTGTCTGTTTATTTGGAGATTTTGAATTAGTATTTTTTGTGCATGATGAATGATGGTGCAGGTGGACTTCTAATGATCCTCTACGCGAGAAATACAACAAGAAAATGGCGGGCATGAATGCTCCTATTGAAAAACCAAAGGGGAGCAAGAAGATGAAAGATTGGGAGAAATAAACAGCATCAAGATCTGATTCGAGTTTAAGCCAAAAAAACTTAAACAAAGTGGTATGTTCTAGTAAAAAGGAACATCTTATACTCTGATATCTCTGAGAACTCTATCTTAACCGCAGATATTTAATAATGTTTGCTTTGTTACTGCCGTAAGCTTGTGGACAAGAGACATATGGTCTTAGCAGCGTCTGTTGTATCGTTTCAATCAAGATACATTTATGTTTTTGCTTGTATCATTTATATTTACATTTTTTTTATACTAAGTTAGGTTTGATAAACACAAGCACACTTGAACAGAAATCAAAACAGCAATTTATCGAAACAAATGGAAGGAATGACATAACATTCTGAACACAATTAATAATCCAGTTTTAAGTCTTGACCTCCTGCAGAACATTGAATCGTGGTCGTTACTGGGACATGCTGAGTAGTTGTAAAATATAACTATAGATAAAATCAACCAGAACCAACAAGGGACCGATTTCTACTGTGCTATGTGGATTATTACCCAGAAAATTATGAGAACAGTTATTAATAAAAAAAGAACAAAAAAGCAAGATGTAAAATATTCTCTTCGATGAGAACAACCCCCTTGCTTCCATTCTTCACCACATGTGTAGCAAAACGAATATCCACATCTATCCATCATAATAAATAATATTCGTTATAATGAAGAAATTTGATGGATTATATAATAGCTAAAGAATGTGGTGCTGGGATAATTAAGGTTGATACCTGCAAATTACATGAATGCATCCTTCGACACGTTCGATCATGTGATGGCACTTTCCACACTGACGCCACATCTTCTGATTTGCTAGAGCTTTTAGCATCATATCATTTGTTGTAGAATTTGGACCCAACCTCTTGTAATCACCGCAGGACATGTTATTATGCCATGGAACTTTGCAGTTGATGCAAAAGGGTTTAGAACATTTGAAGCAACGTCTCATATCTCCATTAGTAGACTTAGAGAGCTCTGATACCGACATTAAAGCCAAGCACATCGGGTTTGGGCAATAAACTCTGTCAATTACAGGAACCGAGTTCTCTATGATCTTTTGTTCCCACATCTTTTTCAGTTTAGGTGTTAAAAGATTAGCAAAGCTTCTAAGAGTTGGCTTAGACTCGCACTGATGATGAGGACATCTCGGTACTCTCCCCTCGAGTAGCATCGCTTCTACATACCGTTTCATGCACTCCACACAGAATTGATGACCGCATAAAGCGACGGTATGCATCTGATCAACTTCATCGTCAAAACATATACGGCAAATCTTCCTTTGAGAAGGCATACTCTGAGAAGATCTTTTCCTAAGGATCGTTCACGTCTTATATATGACTCGAATTCAATATATAGATGCCGATTTTAAGAATAAGACAAAGTTCACATCCATGTAGGATTATAGTATTTGAAGTCCTACTGTCCCTTTAGGATAAGGATTCAATTTATTAGAATGGTGTTATTTCATATTTGATATCTTTTTAAAAAGGAAATAAAATCTTGTTAAGTTATATTATATTTTAAAATAATAATACAAAAAAATATATATACAAAAAACGCAAAAAGTTATGTAAAAAAATATTATTATTATTTACTTTTTATATTTTTATTTTAAAAACATAATATAATTTAACAAGATTTTTTTCATTTTTAAAAGATATCAAATATGAAATAACAATTGGTGAACCTAGAATTTCACCGTAGAGGGTCAACCCAAAAATAAGTCATTTATTATTATCATTATTTTCTAAAGACAATTAGCATTGTTTTTAAGATACCGTAGGAATTCTATAAGTTAATATTCGATAAATTAATAAATACGATAAATAAATAAATTTTCTACAAACTTCACAACATTTTGATGTTATTTTTTTCAGTTATTCTACTAAAATTGAAGTACTTTTTAGAGATAACATCTCTTTTATTCTATTAATTACAAATTGCGACACTGAATTAGTAAATAATTATTAATTTATGCTGACGTGTTATATTTTTCTTGAGTTAATTGATGAAGTGATTTTAGAAGAAGAAGATAAACTCCACTTTGTATATAGACTAGGTGTTTTGCCCGCACATGCGGACTTATTATCTTTAAGTCAATTTTAAAAATCATCAAAATAAATGGTTATTTGCATCCAAAAAATTCGACCTAAAACATTAAGCTTCTTTACATGATAAAGTTATTTATAAATTAAAAAAAAAATCCATTTTCCCTCCAAAACTTTGAAAAATATAGAAATCTATCTTTCAATTTGAAAAATTGAATATATAAATATACATTCAAAAATTGATCTTACAGAAAGAATAATATTAGATTGGATAATAATACATTATATTTGAATTTATTTTTGTCAAACATGTATTTTCTTTCTTTTTGAATGATATTTTATTTTATTATGATTAATTCATGATTAAAGTTTAACTATATAAAATATAAATTAAATTAAATTTAACGTGTGAGTTTAGAGACGAAAAATAACTTGACAAATATATATCATTATATTATCTTATTATATTATTTTAATTTGAAAATAATTACGTATTATAATTTTTCAATTTTATCTTTTCAATTATATGCAGTTAAAATATTTAATTTATGAATATTTACTTATGTGTTTTTTGTTTTTGATTTTTTTATTAAAATATATTTTCCGGATAACAACATAATATATATAGGAATTATCTTTTTAATTGTATATATTTAGATTATGGATAAGTCTTATCATTATTATTAATTTAAATCACTTATCTAGTCAAATAAATATTAAATTTCTTTTTATTTTTGGCTGATTTATATATTTATTCATTAAGAGTATAAGCGATATTAACCACTCCAACTTTTAACATGGAAGCTCCGTTGCGAAAAATCAATTCGCAAATAATAGTACAGATTTTTACACATGTCACAATCTTAAATATATACTTGTCATGTGTCACACTCTTGTTAATTAGTAACTTTAAAAAACCAAACTTTATATAATAAGATTAAATAAACATAACAGTATTAAGTAATCTTTGTCATACTTTATACTTCTATTAATATTGATTAGTATTAATTTTTCTATGATGGTTGTTTGTATTTAAGGTTAATTTTTGTTTATACATGTATATGTAGAAAAATATTTATTAATCAAACTAACTATAAAACACAGCATATTTTGGTCAAGGAAAAAGAAAAACCTGCGTTTAATAAGTGGAATAAAAGTAAAAAATAGTGCCTAAAGTAGTAGCCACCGCCACCACCGTAATATGAGGAGAGGCCAACGAAACAATTACATTTGTTTTGCTGTAAAGAAAGCCAAATAAGAAACAATCATATTAGCCCACTCTTCTTCTTCTTTCCTCTTCACTCTCTCTCTGTCTCTGCATCGTATAGTCAAACTATTTTCTCCTCTCTCCGTGAGGTACGTCTCCGAGTTTCCATAGCTTCCACCATGTCTCTAGTTTCTTGTCAACGCTATGACTTGTCAAAGGCGTACGAAGTGATGACATTTTTGAATTACAGTATAGTATTTTGATTGCTGTTTCTCCACGATCTGTTTGTTTGTACCTGGTGACTGATGAGTGATGAGTGAGTTCACCAGAATACTGGATCTAATTCTCGATCTGATTGGAATGGTTTTACCTTTTTCTGTACTCGTGTGCGTTAGATCCGATCATTATTATCATCTTGGAAAGATATTTATGGTTGAAAGTTGCATATCTAAAGGTTTATCTCGGATCATAAATAGGATCAACACTGCTCTCTTTATTTTTTATTTGAAAGATTATAAACTGTGTAAATCTCTGTCAACTTCGTTTCAGATTTATTCTAGTATGTTAACTTGCACCATTTGATTTTGTGATTGTTGCTTTTGATACAGAAAACAACCTGAAGAAGAAGAAAAAAAAAAAAGAAAGATGATCAGTGATCGGTCTGAGTTCAGAGTACACCTACGGAGAGTATTCTTCATTATGATCAGAACTTCATATAGATGGATTTGTAGTCATCCTTTTCTCCTTGGATTTGTTGGCTTTGTGTATCTTCTGTATAGAACTTGTCCTCTTTTGTTTTCTCCCTTGCTGGCTGCTTGTCCTCTTTTGTTATCTCCCTTGCTGGCTGCTTCTCCTGTTCTGGTGTGCACTTTCGTTTTGCTTGGAACTATTCTGAGTTTTGGAGAGTCAAATATACCTGAGATTGAAACAGAACCGGAGACTACTGTTCACGAGCCTGCTCTTTTCACAACTGAGGTTTCGAGGGATACTAATGTTGTTGAGAGAGGGGATGAGAGTTTTACGGTAGAGAGGTTTGTGAGCACGGAGAAAGATGGAAATGATGATAGATTAGTAGAAAATCATCTGAGTGAGGCTCTTGATGAGTTCAAACGGGATACTCAGGTAAGGTTTGAGGAGAGAGCGTTTGTTTTTGACTTGGAGAAGAAGGGAGAGGGAGAAGAGGAGAAGTTTACTGGAAATGATGGGAAGCATGGAGAACAGTCGAGGAATATTGATGATTCTTTAGATGAAATGATGAAGGATTCAAAGGAAGAACTTGTGGATGTATCTCCAGTTTCTCCTTGGAGACCAATGAGGCATGAGGAGGACGAGGATGATGATGCGGACCGTGATGACTCACTGGATTCTAGTTCTGATGGTGCAGAAAGCTCTTCACCTGACCCCTCTATGACAGACATCATCCCAATGCTTGATGAGCTTCACCCGCTTTTACTCTCCGAAAATCCAGGTCGTGGTATTGCAGATCTTGAAGGATCAGATGCAACTTCAGAGGAGCCAGATATGAGTAGTAGTGATAGTGATGAAGGAACGGAGTCTGATGTTAACAGCGAAAGTCATGGAGAAGAGGGAAACAACAAGAACAAAGAGGAAGTGGAAAAGAAGGAAGAGGAGGAAGATGAAAGCAAATCACCAATCAAATGGACAGAGGCTGACCAAAAGAATGTCATGGAGCTAGGGAGTCTTGAGCTTGAAAGAAACCAACGGTTGGAGAGTCTTATCGCCAGGAGAAGGGCTCGCAACAGTATGAGACTGATGACAGAGAGAAATCTGATTGATTTTGACTGTGCTGATGTTCCCTTTAATATGCCACCAATCTCAACGGCAAGGCATAATCCATTTGATCTTTCATATGATGATATGGGATTACCACCTATCCCTGGCTCTGCCCCGTCCATTATGTTCGCGAGGAGAAACCCATTTGATCTTCCATATGAGCCAAATGAAGAAAAGCCAGACCTCAAGGGTGATGGTTTCGAGGAAGAGTTCTCTTCTCCTCAACCTAAGGAGCCAGTGTTCAGAAGACATGAGAGTTTCAGTGTAGGTCCATCAATGCTCGGAGGTCCTAGACATGATAGGCTACGACCTTTTTTCGTGCTAGAAAGATTAGCACATGAGAGAGCGAGCTATTATCCATTTGAAAGGCAGCTCAGTGAAGTTAGTGAATCAAAAGTCAGTTCTGTACCTGATACTGAATCTGTCTGCACAATCCTGGAGGATGAAGAAAAGAAAGTGGATGAACATGATGCTGATCGGGAAACCGATATAGCTAAAACTGATATGGATTCTGACCATGATGAAGAAAAAAACATTTCGGCTTCTGACCATGATGAAGAAAAAGGCCATTCAGCTTCTGAACATGATGCAGAAAAAGGCCATTCTTCAGAAGATTCTGATTTTGATGAGCAAGCTGATCGCAAAAATCTTCATCATCATGTTGCTGAGATAATACTGGGAAGTGAAGAAACACACGTTACACACCATGAGCAATCAAACATTATGGACAAAGAACCCGATAAGACAAATCATGATGAAGAGGATTCCAGTGATAATGATTCATCTGTATCAGAGATAAAAGAAGAGATAGCGCATATTAGTGAGAATGAAGCAATGTTGATTTCGGAGCGGAAAGTTGATCTTCATGAGAAATCAGGTACTTCTTCCCAGACTTCTTTTGGAGGATTAGATAGCCACGTTGTAAGAGGGGTGGAGGATGATTATCACCAGGATGAAACGCCTGCTTTTATTACTGCAGTCCCCTCCCTGGAGGAGTCAGAAATTCATGATCTTTGTGGTTTGGTGGACATCCACGAAAAACCTGTTTACGATTCGAGTCCTCCCTCAGCCAGTAGATTCCCATCATTTTCTTCCGTATCATCTGATTACAAACCAGATCTACCTGGAAAGAGTGGAGAAGCCATACAAGAAAATGCAGATGATGAACGTGAAGTTGATTCTGAAAGCATAGGTCCTGATGAGACTGAGACAAGTACAAGGGAAGTTGGAGAGAGTAGAACGCATGTCACTGTAGAGGCAAGCCTTCTCATTGCGGAGGCTGGAATTGATGGTCAAAAGAACTCAACTGTTTCAGTGTCTGAATTTGAGGATCCCTTGCTTGATCCATCCTCTCTACCTGTGGATAAAAACGAGGATGCTGATCACCTGGAGGATGACCACCCTTTGTCTGTTTCTAGTCAAGAAGAGCTTCATGGAGAGGTGAAAGAGGCTTTAGATACCAGAGAGCTAGATGTTAGTGAATCTTTGGTGGACTTGGTTTCTCCTACAGAAGAGGAAGTAGTATCTACAGGGATAGTTGACCAACATCTTCCAGTTGAGCATACAACTTCACCTTTGGCATACAGTGACACGACAGAGCATGTGACAGCACTGGAAGAATCACCTGATGTGGTACATGACATAGCTGAAACTTCAGTAGACAGAGCAGTAGCTGAAGAAATAGTTCAGGAGGACGAGAATAAACAAAAAGATGAAGCCAATCCTCAAACATTCAATGCAGACATCCCAATAGACAGTTACGCCACTTTGTCTTCTGGAGCAGTTGATTATGTAGAGACGCATTCATTTAATGACGAAATAGTTCCGCAGTCAGAACAAAATCCAATTCAATTTTCAGTTTCCGATGCCAAGGAAGAAACACACCCCAACCAAACTATGGATATTGAAGTAGACTCTGTGAATACTAGTGCCCAAAATGTGGGATCCGAAGAAACGACTCCATCTGAATCAGATGGACAACCGACCTGGTCAGATAAATCTGTTGTAGAACAATCATCCCTTGAACCTTGTGAAGATCAAGTAAGTCCCGTAATGGTCATCTTTACAACTTTTATCTGATATGTTTAGTATATGATCTTCTACTTCTATCCTCTTAGCTTAGGATAGTCTATTTGATATACCAAACATGATATTTTTTTTTCTGAATAAATGTTAAATTTATTCATCACAAATAAACCTATTTTACAACATAATATTGATAACTTACAAATTAATAGAGGGAAAATACGGGAGTGATTAATTACTTGACGGTGCATTGGTGCATGTGCAACAACTTATTTTCGATGCAGTCTCAAACTTAACCTGTTTGTTATTCTCATGACATATTAGACAATGGCAAGTCATTTATATTTGAGGTTTCATACCTAGAACTGGATATAACAGCAGACTAATACAGTCAAGATGTTTGGACTTCTTTCTTCTTTCTGCAGTTTGTTAAGAGTCTAAACGCTGTAATGCGTTATTGCAGGTACCAGAACTTGCAGCTCCCGAGAATACAACCGAGTTATCTTGTTTGACATCTGACACAGCCTCATCTCCAGCAGAGTCTCCTGAGTACGAAACACCTATGGTTGGTGAAGGCTTAAAGGCGGAGTTCTTCCAAGAGACTCTTAATGAGGGGCTTGACCATGTGGCCGAGCGATTAGATCAGTTTACAGATTTACATTCAATAACTCAAAGTCCTTCTGAACTTATCACCGAAGAAGCAGAGCAATTAGATCAGTTTACAGATTTACATGCAATATCTCAAAGTCCTCCTGAAGTTAGCACTGAAGAGGCAGACGAGATAAAAGAGATTGATGGATTGTTGTCTGAACTTGACACGATTGGAGACTTCAATGTTAAGGAAATTGTGACAGATTCTGAACCTGGGCCATCTTCAATAGGATCAGAGACTGCCACTGAACAGACGGAAGCTCTGCCTGTTCTGGATGTGAGATCAGTTGAAGACATAGAATCTGCTTTCCAGCAGATCCATGAAGGATCTGAGGTTGAGGATGTTATTCTTCCAAGCACCGTTCAAGACCAGTTGGCTCAAGAAAATTCTGCAAACTCAACAGAGACCAAGTCAGATTTAACAGTAGTGGAAGCTACGTCGAAAGATGACCTAGATACTGCTATGAATCAGGCTGTGGTAGAGAGCATGGGCAAGCAACCAAAGTCACCAGAATCAGATGGTGGGTCTGGAGAAACCAAGTGTGCTGTTGAAACCGAACCAACAGGATCTTTAGTTGAAGAAAGATCTCTTGATGAGACAAATGTTCATTTGAACAACACACCTGAGAAAGAAGAAGAAGAGAAAAGTAGACCGAAAGAGATAACAACATCGTCTATCCAAACTCGGTCATTGGATGAAATTCCAAAACCTTCAGAACCAAAAGAGGGGATGGCAATGGAAGTAATCTCTGAAAGAGTGGTGATTCCCACAGAAGCCATTGAGTCTAGTAATGTAACACTAAGCGATGAAGTTGTGACTGACAAAGCAAAAGCTGAGACCTCAAGCAACCTTGATGGGATTTTACAGAGTCCTGAGTCCAAACAAACTCCGGAAGATTCAGGGGAAAGCATCGCAGAGTATAAAGTAAAGACAGAGGAGAAGAAGGAGAAGGGTAAATATGATTCTTCAAGCTCGAGCTCAAGCTCTAGTTCGAGTGACTCAGAATGAAAAAAAGTCGAAGGGTAATACATCTCAATTCCTAGTAAATATATATGTTTGTTACACGTAATGATAGGCACTTCTGGGTTTGTTTTCTCATCAGACTGTGTGCTCTGTTTTAAAAGGGGCAGGAAGAAGCCGCTATTGAATTTTTTGTACCAAGTTTTCTCCTTTTTTCGGTTGTTTTCCTTTTCTCGTGTTTCAGCTTCCATGTTTATTGATTTGATTGATTTGTATTTCCTGACACTATTCTGAGTTTTCAGGATATTTTGGTTTGTGACTTTTAAATATTTTGGGTGGTTCTTAATATTTTGTATTGGACCTGAGAAACGAGAAGTGTATTGATGATTGGATTATTCTTTGAACATTGTTGGAAAGGTAGTGTTGCTCTACATCATTGTTCTTTCAGCCTTTTGGGATTTTCATCAGGTTAGGGATGTGGTTCAGATTTGATCGGGTTTGATGTTGGTTCAGTTCAAGCATTGTGTAATTTATAAGAATGGACACTACCTAAAACGTGGTTGGTTTCATTGTTTACTCACTAATGTGATTGAGATTTAGATGAATGATTTTATGAATCTTTAGGTTCTTTAGATTATCGTCTGGTGGTGAGTGATTTGCAGATGCAAGTACGATCCCGGTTTCGATTTCGATTTGTATTGACTACAGTATGACTTAGGCCACGGTATGACTTAGGCCCATTTGTTTAGGTACAGACGTTCGAACCCATCCTAGCAAATCAAAAAAAAAATATAAACTGTTTAAATTATCAAATTTCAGTTTCGATAATAATGCATATGTAATCATGTAATCTTTTTCTGTCACATGGCTAAAAGCATACCTTTATCATAGTTTAATCACGAGTTTAATAATCCAGCAATACGGATGTTTTTGAATCTTGTGATTCGTTTATTATACGATCTACCAAACTTAAGATTGAAAAAAAAACGAGGCGTATACCATATAATATGGTCGTATAATTTTCACAATACGCGTACGAAATAATTCAATAATTTCACAACATTACAGTTTTTCTTTTTTGTTTGTTTGAGCTGTTTTATAGTGTTACTGTTTAAGTTGCAGAACGATAAAACGAAAATGAAAAGGAGAATTTTCATTAAATGCTCGGACGACTTTTGCTGTTATCATGATGGTAGATCTAAATCCACCGACAAAACAACTTTAAGGATGCATATGCAAATCTTCTTGTAAAGTCACATGTAATTGTTGTTCAATTTATTTCTTGTTCGATTGACAATTACTGGTAATAAAAATAGGAGATAATACAAATCATATAATCAACCTACGGTTTAGTATCCATATTGTGTCGAGCTAGTCTTCAAAAATCATTTTGCTGACATTGGTGAGGAAAACGCAGCATTCTGTTGATTTTTTATCTCTTTGCAACATATCATCATCTTCTTAATAAATTTATTATTTTAAAACCCAAAATAAAGACCTACAAGAAAATGGTACACACCAAAGTCCAAACTAGTTGTTGTCTTGTTGAACGTAGAATATTCTCACAAGTCCCGCAAAAGAGCTTATAATAATCAAGTAGTGTATGTGCTATAGGTTAGACTTTGAGTTACGTAACAAAACTGTATAAATGATTGGAATATATATATTATATTCGTAATCTATTAGTAGTATAAATGTGATATGGACTTTGAGTCTTATGAATACTACTAATTCAAAATTTAACGCTACCAAAGTACTCCAAAAAAATCAGAAATAAGATAAAGAAAAAGTAACATCTAATCAAAGGAACCGATGAAGTTAATAAAAAGGCCAGAATCTGTGTTTGGTGGCCAAATTATCAAGCAAACAACAGGATGAAGAGCACTCATCACTTTGTTTATGTTACTTAAAACAATAACATATACATCATGGGTCCATAATCTCCCTTTCTTTACCTACTACTATATTCACCCACCTTAATTTTCCCCCGACCCAGTTTAAGATACTTGCTAGTTCACTGGATTATCATATTTTACTTATTTGATCCAGTTTAACTCAGCTACCTAAGCTTTCATTGGCGAGTGATAGATGAATAGTAGATATAAATAGGGAAATTAATCATGATCGAAAAAGAAAATTACATGTTAATTAGCGAAATTTCACATGTATGAATCTTATTATACTTTTCATCAAAAATAATCAGGTTGTATATCAACTGCAACTTGATATCTGAAACGCTGCGGAACGGGCCTCGATGTCGATACTCTTCGGGCCGACACTAAAAACGCTGTCGTATTAAGTAGAAACTTCACCGTGAAATGTGAATCTCCACCAACCTCCGTGGGTCCCATGCCACCACCCACTTCTACTGATCCCTCCTACGTACACCAACTCCCCTTCCCTTCACGTTTTATAATCCTCTCATCCCTTAATTGCTTTTATACTTACGTTTTAATTAAATGATTGAACTTTACTGCTGTCAAAAATTAAAACTAAAATTATTTGAACTTCAATAATCATAATTTTTAATATAACCACCGGTACTCTACAAAATACCAACTGAAATATTTGTGTCAAGTCGTTAAGATATCATCTAAAAATTAGTTTTTAGAATAATCAAAGATCCATATATAAACTGTTATTTGGCCAAAATGTATAAAACTGTACACATTTTTAATATCTAAAAGTGAAAATACTGATACATACAAACTAAAATAAGTAAGAACACATAATTTTTTTTTCAAAAAAAAAAGCACAGAAATAATTTCATTCCAAGTAAAATCCATACGTGTTCTCCTATTTTTAAATGGAAAGTAATTAATTATGGTAAATCTCAGAAAAATAAAATTATAATAAATCATGAAATATAGTATTGTTAATTGCCGAAAATATCAACCACCAGATCTACACATTACACAGAGGCCAACGACGAATCTACTATAAATAAACTCACACAGCCACTCTCCTTCCTCGCTCTCCCTCTCTTCTTCGTAGCCAACCTCTTCCTCCGATTCTTCCTCCGTGAGGTACGTCTCCGAGATTTTATGGCTTCCCTACGTCTCCCTTATTTATCGTCCCTTCCCTTTTCCATTTCGTCTCCATGTTATTGTTATTACTTAACGACTGTGATTTGAATTTGAATATCGTCTTCCGTTTCGCAATCTGTTCGTTCGTATTGTGTGTTTATCACTAAGATCTAAACGGTGAGAGAATAGATCTGAGTTTTTTTGGTGTCGGTCGATCTGTAGATCTGGATCTGATTTGCGATCTAATTCGAGAATGATCATTGTTCTAAGCTCTCGTGTGTGTTAGATCCGATTTGAATCACCAAATGTTGCACGTGATTCGATCTAAAAGTTTTCGATTCTACTTTGAAGTAGACTCATATAGTTTATCTCAATCATTGCCACGATAAAAGCTGCTATATACTTTTTAGATTTTATATTAGTTTGTGAACACGTGAACCTGTAGTTGCAGCTTTCTTGGAGTTTGAAACTAAGTGTTATTATTATAATATTATTTTTTATATTTGATTTTGATATATTGATTTGATTTGTGTTTGATGCAGTAAAAAAAATCAAAAATCAAAAATGGCGTCACACATTGTTGGATATCCACGTATGGGCCCTAAGAGAGAGCTCAAGTTCGCTTTGGAATCATTCTGGGATGGCAAGAGCACTGCGGAGGATCTTCAGAAGGTGTCTGCTGATCTCAGGTCTTCCATCTGGAAGCAGATGTCTGAGGCTGGGACTAAGTACATCCCTAGCAACACCTTTGCTCACTACGACCAGGTTCTTGACACCACCGCCATGCTCGGTGCTGTTCCACCCAGATACGGATACACCAGTGGTGAGATTGGTTTGGATGTTTACTTCTCCATGGCTAGAGGTAACGCCTCTGTGCCAGCCATGGAGATGACCAAGTGGTTTGACACTAACTAGTGAGTCTCCAACTCTCTCTCTTGTGTACTTTGCACTGATGGTGTTAGGTTTAGTTGGTAGTGGTGGAATAATGTGATATGTTTTATTGGTGCAGCCATTACATTGTTCCTGAGTTGGGCCCTGACGTCAAGTTCTCTTACGCATCTCACAAGGCTGTGAATGAGTACAAGGAGGCTAAGGCTGTACGTATCTTTCTTCAGTATTATTCTTCTACTAAGAAATTACTTTTGTTGTAGATCCTTTGGTTTGTGGATTTAATGTTTGAGCTTAGATTAATTGAATGGTGTTTCATCGAGAATGCTGATACGTTAAGAATTTGCTTGCTTGAGTATTCACAAGCCTCAGTTGGTTGATCGAATACGTTTAGAAACTAGTTTAGAAATTGTTGTCTTGGTGCACCCAAAGTAGTTTCCTTCTAAATTTCTTATCTGATAGGCTTGATGTTGTTTATGCAGCTTGGTGTTGACACTGTCCCCGTACTTGTTGGCCCTGTGTCTTACTTGTTACTTTCTAAGGCTGCCAAGGGTGTGGAGAAGTCATTTGACCTTCTTTCTCTTCTCCCCAAAATTCTCCCTGTCTACAAGTACGGATCACTTCTTTATTTTTCTTTCTCTACTTCGCTAGTCATGTCGTTGACGTTATTGATGATCCTCTGACCTGTCACTGAAATTTAACTTTGATTTGTGTACAGGGAAGTGATCACCGAGCTTAAGGCTGCTGGTGCCACCTGGATTCAGCTTGACGAGCCTGTCCTTGTCATGGATCTTGAGGGCCACAAACTCCAGGCCTTCACTGGAGCTTATGCTGAACTTGAATCAACTCTTTCTGGTTTGAACGTTCTTGTCGAGACCTACTTCGCTGATATCCCTGCTGAAGCATACAAGACCCTAACTTCGTTGAAGGGTGTGACTGCCTTTGGATTTGATTTGGTTCGTGGCACAAAGACCCTTGATTTAGTCAAGGCTGGTTTCCCCGAGGGAAAGTACCTCTTCGCTGGTGTTGTTGATGGAAGGAACATCTGGGCCAATGACTTTGCTGCGTCTCTCAGCACCTTGGAGGCACTTGAGGGTGTTGTTGGAAAAGGTGACAAGTGCTTCCAGAATCATCTGTCTTTTACCTGAGTCCCCCGAAAATATACTAAGGGATTACTCATAAACAAATATTTCAAACGTTGATCTGTTGTATTTCTGCATTGATTCAGACAAGCTTGTGGTCTCAACCTCCTGCTCTCTTCTCCACACCGCCGTCGATCTTGTAAACGAGACCAAGCTTGACGACGAAATCAAGTCATGGTTGGCGTTTGCTGCCCAGAAGATCGTTGAAGTGAACGCATTGGCCAAGGCTTTGGCTGGACAGAAGGATGAGGTAGAAATTTTATCCACCTACTTAATTAAATCCTTGAATAATTTTGCAATGTAAATGATTTGGTAAACAGTAGAACGCTAATATTGTATTCCCTTTCACAGGCTCTTTT